AGGAGCAGGAAGGCTGACGTTTCGGGCCTAGAGCCTTTCTGCTCCTACGATGCTGCTTGGCCTGCTGTGTTCATCCAGCTCTGCACCTTGTTGTCTCGGATTCTCCAGAATCTGCAGTTCCTACTATCTCTGTCCCAACTAAACTAGTCCCACCTGCCTGCTCCTGGCCTCGAACCCTCCAAACATTTTCTATTCATATACTTATCAAAGTGTCTTTTAAACATTGTAGCTGTTCAGGAAGTTTATTCCACACGTACACCATCTTCTATGTAAAAAAATTGTCCCTCATGTCTTTTTAAAATCTCTCTCCTCTAACCTTAAAAATATATGCCTAGTCTTGAAATCCCTCATCCTAGAGATAAGATACCTACCATTAACCCTATCTATACCCCTCATGATTTTGTAAACTTCCATAAGGTCAGCTCTTAACCTCCCAGTGAAAGAAGCCCCAGCCTATCCAGCCTTTCTTTATAACTCAAACCTTCCACGCCTGACAACATTCTGGTAAATCTCTTCTGAACCTTTGCTAACTTAATAATATAGAACTGGACACAGTATTTCAGAAGAGGCCTCACCAATGTCCTGTACAACCCCAACATGAGTTCCTAACTCCTATATGCAAAGCACTGAAGGGTTATACCTTTGTCTTGGCTTTCTCTATTACTTGTTCCTTCACAGCGAGTGACCATTGCATTCAAAAGCACTTTATTTATAGACACAGAGATCCTGCTCATTTTCAAGTTTTCACATGAAGGTATAATGATACAAATCCTTTCCTTGCTCACCTCCTCACTTCCATCTTTCATCAAACTGCTCAGAAATCACACAACACCAGGTTATAGTCCAACAGGTTTATTTGAAAGCACAAAGAGCCTCACTTCTTCTTCAGGTGTTAGTCTGACCAAACCGGACTTAACACCAGGCTCCATGTACCCCATCATCATTGTGGTCACTGACTTACCTTGGCTGTGCTCCAGCAGTGCACTGATTTAAGAAACAAATTACATCCTTAGTTCCAAAGCCCTTCAGGGCCTCACTCCTCTCTATTACTGCAATTCGCTTCATCCCCACAACTACTTCAGATTTCAGCATTCCTCTAATTCTGGCATTTTACACATCTCTGATCTTAATCAGTCCATGATTGGCAGCCACTCCATCTGTCTGAACTTCCTAAACCTCAATCAATGCATTTCTTGCTCCCTCTTTAACTTGTTTTTTTCAACCTGTTTCTTTGACAAAGCTTCGGGCCATCTTTTCACATATCTTTTGTGCATTTTTATGTCAAATATTGTTTAATAACATTCCAGTGAGGCACTACTGTGAGTTGAAGATGTTATGTAAATGCATGTTGCTGTTTAATTTGACAATTTAGGCTTCAAAAAAACAAGTTGTCTTCTACTGTATGATTCATTGTATTAAATTGAAAAGCAATGGTTGTGAATTATTTTACCATAATGTAAAAACAATTTACAAGGATACCAACAGAACCGGCCTGCTGTGTTCATCTAGCTCTACACCTTGTTATCTAAGGAAATGACCCTATGACTCTGTGAAATAAGAAATAGAAGGAGTCAGCCATTTGGCCTCTCAAACTCACCCTGAAATTCAACAAGATCACGGCTAATATGGCCCAGGCCTCAACTCCTCTTTTGTGCCAGCTCCACATAGCCCTCAGTTCCTTGACTTTTAAAAAATCTATCCACCTCTTTAATAACTTAGGAAGCCTGACTGAAAAGGAACATCAACAATTGTTGAATACCAGCTTAGAGCCACCACTTGTGATGCCCATTGGTTAGCCTGAGCCCAGGACAGACAATTTTGCAGACACATCCTCTTTATTTTTCCCTAACCAACCAGCTCAGAGCTGCTACTACACACCTCCAGGGTGTATGGGATTTGAACCTAGGCTACCTGGTTTAGAGGTAAGGACACTACCACTGTGTCACAAGAGCACTCTGGGTTTTAGTTTTTTTTCTCCTTTCTATACTCAGCTGTGTTATCACACACAACTGAGTAACTTTCCTGCCACCAAAATCACTGACCTTTTCTTCTCTTCTCTTAAACTACTAGCCACCACAAGCAGTTCCTTGAAAATTGAGTCCCAGGTAGACAGGGTGGTGAAGAAGGCATTTGGTACGCTTGCCTTCATTGGTCAGAACATTGAGTATGGGAGTTGGGACAACATGTTGCGGCTATACATGACATTGGTGAGACCACTTTTAGAATACTGCATACAATTCTGGTTGCCCTTCTATAGGAAGGATGTTGTTAAGCTTGAGACAGTGCAGAAACAATTAGCAAGGTTGTTGCCAGGACTGGAGGGTTTGAGCTATAGGGAGAGGCTGAATAGATTGGGGCTTTTCTTCCCTGAAGAGTCAGAGGCTGAGAGGTGACATTATAGAGGTTTACAAAATCATGAGAAGCATGAATAGGTTAAATAGCCAAGGTCTTTTTTCTTTTTTTTGGGGGGTGGGGGGGGTGTCCAAAACTAAAGGGCATAGGTTTAAGATGAGAGGGGAAAGATTTAAAAAGGACCTCAGGGTAACCTTTTCACACAGAGCGTGGTGCGTCTATGGAATGAGCTGCCAGAGAAAGTGGAGGAGGCTGGGACAATCACAACATTTAAAAGGCATCTGGATAGGTATATGAATAGGAAGCGTTTAGAGGGATATGGGCCAAATGCTGGCAAATGGGACTAGGACAGATTGGAATGTCTGATCAATACATACAAGTTGGACTGAAGGGTCTGCCTCCATGCTGTATGACTCTATGATGCTATAATCACCCATGTGGCCAATTAAATATCTACAAACAAAGCCTATTATGGGCAAGGAAAAACATCAAAAGTGAGGGGGAGGTAGGGAGAGAGGAAAGGGACTAAATCAGAATGGAGTTGGAGGGGCTGGGTCTGCTTTATCCTTTTCCTGTTCTTTATACCCAGAAGCATTATCACACACAATTGAATGACTTTCCCACAACCAAAATCACCTTAACTGTGCTTTTTTTGTGAACGAATAACCACTAACAGTAACCACCCTTGCAGCCAAACCAATACCTGCAAGCAAAGTCCAATTTTGAGTAATGCAAATCATCAAAAGTGAAGGGGAGATTGTGAGAGAGGGAACGGGCGAAATCAGAATGGGGTTGAAGGGAGAAATAAAGCACTCTATCTGCCACGGTGCCCACCTCTCTCTAAAGACATCAACAGCACTGATGGACACCACATGCTCTGTCTCCAAGGACACCCGGGTTAGGTCTGCTTTATTCTTCTCAATGGGGAGGGGGAGATAGGGAAGGGGCTTGGGTCTACTTTATCCTATTTTCTATTCAACCTATTCTATTACATACGTGCGGAACAGGGAGGACCTGAACCCAAGGCCATCTGGCTTAGAATTAAGGATACTACCACTGAACCACAAGAACCCTTTGGGTCTTTTTTTTTTGTTTTCTAATCAGAAGTGTTATCATATACAGCTGAGCGACCTTCCCACCACCAAAATAACCATTTTTTTTACATTTTTGTTTAAACTAATAGCCACCACCAGTAAAAGCACCTGTGTGGCCAATGCAATATTTACACGCAAAGCCTGTGAAGGAGAATTCAAACCTGCAAAAGGGCTCTGTTTTATAAAGGGCTCAGGTGATGAGTTTCCAGTTGGCCAGGCCATTGCCTGTTACTCACTTAGCCCCAAAGGGAGCTTAATGAGTGATTCCCCTTCGACCTTGTAAGGGTTATCACAAGCTTCTCTTTAAATAATTTCAGTGACTGACACTCCATATCTCTCTGGGATACTGAATTCCAGACATTCACCACCTTCTAGGCATCAAAATTTATTCATGTCTCAATTTGAAAGAAATTTCTCCTTATTCTGTAACCATATCCCCTAGTTGAAGATTCCTCAACTCGTGGAGACATCTACTCCACTCATACTTTGTCAAACCCCCTCAGGGTCTTGTATTTTCAACAAGATGTCCACACATTTTTTTTTCTATACTCTAAGGTCTAACCTGGATAGCCATTCTTGACATTCAACCCCTTTCTCCAGGAATCAGCCTATTAAATCTATTTTGAACCACCTCCAATGTCAGTGTATCCTCTCTTATATACGAGGAACAAAACAATACACAGTGGGCCAGCTGTGGTCTCAGCAACATCCCTATTTTCAAACTCTAAACTCCTATGAATAAAGACCAAAATTCCATTTGCCTCTAATTACTTGCTGCTCCTGCAGGCTAACATTTGGTTTTTCGTGCACAAGAACACCCAGATCCCTCTGCACTGCAATTTTTTTGGAGGATGAAACTGTCACTATTATAAGAAAATCAAACATGTTGGGGCTGATTCTGGGAAAGGAGAAGACAAAGAAAAGTCCAAAAAATGTCCCCTAAAAAGAAGACAGGATGCAAATGGAGAACAAAAACAAAGTTGCTGGAAAAGCTCAGCAGGTCTGGCAGTATCTGTGGAGGAGAAAACAGAGTTAACGTTTTGGGTCCGGTGACCCTTCCTCAGAACTGATGGCTGGGAAAACGTCAGTTTATGTGCAGAAAATAGGGAGGTGGGTGGGGTAGGGAGTAAACGATAGGATAGAGCCCAAAGAGAGAGAAAGACAGTTAGACAGACAAAGGAGTTGCTAACGATCAGGCTGGGAGGGCGAATAGTTATTAATGGGGACTGTTAGTGACTAACAACAGGGGGTGTGTAATGGCAGGCTATGTGGTAACAAGGCCTGGTGTGTGGGGTGGGGGGCTGGGACATGGGAGAGTTTAGGCCCTAAAATTATTGAACTCAATATTGAATCCAGAGGGCTGTAGGGTCCCCAAGTGGAAAATGAGGTGTTGTTCCTCCAGCTTGCGCTGGGCTTCACTGGAACACTGTAGCAAGCTGGAGACAGAGATGTTGGTCAGGGAGCAAGGTGGTGCATTGAAGTGGCAGGCAACAGGTAGTTCAGGGTCTTTTTTGCGAGCAGAACGTAGATGTTCTGCGAAGCGGTCGCCAAGTCTACGCTTTGTTTCCCCAACGTAGAGGAGACCACATTGTGAGCAGCGAATGCAGTAGATTAGATTCTTGGAAGTGCAGGTGAAGTGTTGCTTCACCTGGAAGGTATGTTTGGGCCCTTGGATACTGTGGAGGGAGGAGGTAAATGCGCAGGTGTTGCACCTTCGCCTGTTACAGGGGAAGGTGCCGTAGGGCTGTGGGGAGGTGTTGGGGGTGAAGGAAGTATGGACCAGGGTGTCCCAGAGGGAACGGTCCCTGTGGAAGGCGGACAAGGGAGGGGAGGGGAATATGTGTCTGGTGGTGGCATCTTGCTGGAGGTGGCAGAAATGCCGTCTGATGATCTTCTGGATGTGGATGCTGGTGGGATGGTAGGTGATGATAAGGGGAACCCTATCGCTGTTGCGGGAGGGAAGAGAAGGGGTGAGGGCGGAAGTGCAGAAGATGGGTCATACCCAGTTGAGGGCCCTGTCAACAACGGAGCTGGGGAATCCTCGGCTGAGGAAGAATTGGACATTTCGGAGACTCTCTTGTTGAAGTTGGCCTCATCTGAACATATGCGACAGAGACGGAGGAACTGAGAGAATCGGATGGAGTCTTTACAGGAAGTAGGGTGTGAGGATGTATAGTCCAGATAGCTGTGGGAGTCGGTGGGTTTGTAATGGATATCAATGGCCAGTCTATCCCCAGAAATGGAAACAGAAATGTCGAGGAAGGGAAGGGAGGAGTCAGAGATAGACCAGGTGAAAGTGAGAGCAGGGTGGAAATTGGAAGCAAAATTGATGAAGTTTTCCAATTCTCGACGAGAGAGGGAAGCAGCACCGACGATATCATTGATGTATCGGAGAAAGAGTTATGGGTGGGGGTCAGAATAAGACTGGAACAAGGAATGTTCCACGTACCCCACGAAGAGACAGGCATAACTCGGGCCCATGCGGGTACCCATGGCAACCCCTCTTACCTGAAAAAAATGAGAGGATTTGAAAGAGAAATTGTTGAGGGTAAAGACAAGCTCGGCCAAGCGGAGGAGGGTGGTGGTGGGTGGGGATGGTTCAGGTCTTTGCTCCAGGAAGAAGCGGAGAGCCCTACGACCCTCCTGGTGGGGAATGGATGTGTAAAGGGATTGCACATCCATGGTAAAGAGGAGGTGGCTGGAGTCGGTAAACTGGAAGCTTTGAAACTGGCGTGAGGCGTCAGATGAATCATGGATGTATGTGGGTAGGGATTGGACCAGGGGGGAGAAGACTGAGTCAAGGTAGGAAAAGATGAGTTCTGTGGGGCATGACCAGGCTGAAACAATGGGTCTGCCTGGATAGTCCTGTTTGTGGATTTTTGGCAGGAGGTAGAAACGAGCTGCGCGAGGTTGGGGGACTATTAGCTGGGAAGCGGATGGGGGGAGATCACCGGATGAAATGAGATCCATAACCGTAGTGGATAAATGGCCTGATGTGTCATGGTGGGGTCATGGTCCAGGGGAAGGTACGAGGAGGTATCTGAGAGCTGGCACTCAGCCTCTGCAAAGTAGAGGTCAGTACGCCAGACTACAACAGCACCACCCTTATCGGTAGGCTTGATGACAAAGCCAGGGTTAGATCTGAGAAATGGAGAAAGTGTCTCCACATGCAGATGAGTTCAGAATAATGGGACATGGATATATTATATAGGCACTAAATGATCAAATAGGAACTACTTTAGACACAGTGTTCTGAGGATATGTCATCTGTTCTTTGGAATGATTGATGATAGTATTGATTTACCCAAGAGCAAATTTTACACCATATATAAGGAAGAAGGAAATGAAAAGATTTGAGGTCAAAGTGGAAAGAAATCAATACAGTGACAGGAAGCTCATGTGAGACATAAACATTGGGGTAGACAGTTTGTATCAAATGGTCAACTTCTGGGCTCCAAATTCTGTGCAATGATATAAGCAGATAGAATACAAACTCTTCCTGACAAGAATACAAATAAAGTTCACTCTAGAAGTGCTCACTTCTCTTCAAGTCCTGTTTCTATGGGGGTTACTGACACACATCCAACTGATCATTCTTCAGATGTGAGTCTTCAATCAGCCATTCGACAGGGGAAGTGACAGATGAAATCTGATTCTATACACATTTACCATTCACCACTTTCCAGGAAGGACGGGACGACAGTGATCAAGCCTAGGATCTCCCGTTTCACCAAAGATCCTCAGACAGCACTTTCCAAACCCACGACCGCTTCCATCTGGAAGGACAAGGGCAGCAGATATATGGGAACACCACCACTTCCAAGTTCCCCTCCAAGTCACTCACCATCCTGACTTGGAAATATATCGCCATTCCTTCACTGTCGCTGAGTTATAATCCTGGAATTCCCTTCCTAATAACATTGTGGGTCAACCCACAGCAGGAGAACTGCAGCGGTTCAAGAAGGCAGCTCACCACCACCTTCTCAAGGGCAACTAGGGATGGGCAAGAAATGCTGGCCAGCCAGCGATACCCACAAATGAATAGAAAAAAAAATTGCTGCCAGAGCTGGGATCCATTAGAACACACTGATCAAGAATCAAGTGTTCCTGGTCTCTTTGCCATCACTGGCACTGAACTTTGGAGAAACCCTTTCCACCATCAAGATATTACAGAACCATGGAAAGGTTATAGAACAGAGAAGACTATTTAGAAACATAGGAATAGGAACAGGAGTAGGCTATTCGGCCCTTCAAGCCTGCCCTGCTATTCAATATGATCTCGGCTGATCATCCTACTCAGCATCCTGAGACCCCATACCTTATGATCCCTTTAGTCATAAGAACTTGATCTATCTCCTTCTTGAAAGCTTTTAATGTTGTGGTTTCAACCTCTTTCTGTGTCAATCAGTGCCAACTTTCAGCAAGTGCATTTCAGCTCGTCCCACCCACCTACGCACTTTCCTGTAATCCTGCAATTCTTTTGTGTACATTTAATGACTGTACATCAGTGGGAGTAGAGGATAAGCATCATATTGAATTAGCATTTTGAAAGATAAAAACAAAAGTTGCTAGAAATGCTCAGCAGGCCAGGCAGCAACTGTGCCGAGAAACAGAATGAACATTTCCATTTGTTAACTCAGTTTCTATCCACAGATACTGCCTGGCTGCTTGGGTACTTGCAACAGTTTATGTCATTATTTCAGATTTTCAGCATCTGCAGAACTTTGCTTTCATATTAAGCTTTTCAGGTTGAGCAGATTCCAATGACTTTCAATACATCTGAAGGTGAGCATAAAACAATAAGATGGTAAGAAATAGGAACTGGAGTAGGCCATTCAGTCCATTCAGCCTGCTCTGCCATTCAGTAAGAACTTGCCTGATCTAACATGTCTCATAGCAGCATCTTGCACTTTCTCCATAATCTTTGATTCCCCAACTGATGAAGAATCGATCTCAGCCTTAAATATACACAACGACTCTGCCCCACAGCTCTCTGTGGCAAAGGAGTCCCAAACACTCTCACACTCTGACAGAAGAAATTTGTCCTCATATCAGACATAAATTGGTGCTCCCTTTATCCTGAGACTATGCTCTCTTGTCCTAGACTCTGCCATGAAAGGAAATGTCCTCTCAGCATTTACCCTGTCAAGCCCCTAAGAATCCTATATGTTTCAATGAGATCGCATGTGAATATTCATTAAGTTTCAAGTAATCCACATGTATAAAGCCTTAAATTCTTTGACTCGATTGAAATTCTGCGAATACTTCATTTTCAAGGAAAGTCTCATTCATTGGACTTGGATGCTCAATATTAGAGAGAACTTGTCAAGCTAACATTCCCAGATGCATTAAACAAGTATATCAGTGACAGTGACTGCTTTACCACAGTAGTTTAGATAGGAATACTTTGTTGCCTCAGATGGACCATACGAACCATATGGAAGCGAATCCAATCATTGTGATCATAAGGAAACGTTCCAGAAAATTCCTGCGTCAGTTGGCTGCCATCAATGTGCTTGTGAAGAGCCTTCAGCGACGACACTATTTCATACTTGATTGGGCAAAAAATAAAAATTAATCTTAACAGGTGACTCCTTGCAAGCTCATGTTTCTCCTAATACACAATAATGCTTTCTTGTGAGAGCTGACATAAGAACAATTATTTGGTAAATGTTTAATTGTGGAACAAAATAGGTTCATTGATGGAAGGGTTTTAAACATTCAATATCTTTGAACTTTGGACTGAGAGGAGTTAGGTACTCCATGCGTTATTGAAACAGCTGTTATACCGTTCACAGCCACGGGAGGCGGAGATTTTTTTTTCAGAATCAGAATATTTTGGTTCATAATAGAATCCCCATAGTGTGGAAGCAGGCCACTCAGCTCAACAACTCCATGCTGACCCTGCGAACAGCATCCCAGCCAGACCAAACCCCCCTTGCCCTATTCCTGCAACCCTGCATTTCCCATGACTAATCCACCTACCTACACCTCCCTGGCCACTATTGGCAATTTAGCATGGCCAGTCTACCTTCATGTACACTTGTGCCAGTATCCGTGGGGGACGGAAGTGTCACAGAATCACAAAAAAAATGCCTGCCCTAAGGACTTGGCTTCAGCTTATGTTCCACATTGACTAAACTTGGACAGACAATCCTGCACGCTGCCAAACTCTGTGCCAGAGTCTGCTGGAGGACGATACCCGTCATTCACTGCATCTTCCAGGAGCAATCCTGTTGTATTCAGGAAATTGCTATAATGTTGGTCATCAGTCTGGGAGACTTTGTTTGTTCAGCCTCCTCCCATGTTGTTGACTGATGTGCTCGTGCCAAAGTTCACACCAAGCTATAAGACATCTGAATTCTATTGACGGACCACATTAATGGCAGACAAATGAAATAAAAGAATTCTTGGAAAAGGCACTAAATCATTCTCATAAGTTTATCATAAAACAACTGCATTTAAAGTAGTTATATTTTTCAGCCTGACCCAAATCTAAATGCTGAATTTAATTGCTGACGTGAAAGTAGGATTTAATATGATTTCTACACAAATATTTGTCTGGAAATGCATTTTCCTTTCCAGGTATTACATCGAACTGAAATCATTTTGTTGTTTCCGTTCCAAATCACAATCAAAGATATTGAATGGTGCAACTGTTAGAAAAGATCAATCTATAATTAAATGAAACAGTGGAAGAAAGACAAGATGACATAAGTTCAAACTAATACCAAGTCCACGAATAAAAGCATTGCTGCACAATAGCTTGCATTTAGATAGCATCTTTAATGTGATAAAACGTCCATAGTCAGCTCGCAGGAGCATCAAAAGTTAATGTTCAACAGTTGAAGGCATGGCTTGCAAGAGTGGGGTGGAATGTGGATACCTCCTATGTTCAAATAGAATCCCTAGTGGGGGGACAGGGCATTTGGCCCAACAAGCCCAGACCAACTCTCCCCCCTACCCTATAACCCTGCATTTCTCATGGCTGATCCACCTAACCTACAGATCCATGGACAGTATGGGTAATTTAGCATGGCCAATCCACCTAACCTGCACATCTTTGGGCTGTGGGAGGAAACCAGAGCTCCCAGAGGAAACCCACACAGACGTGGGGAGGATGTACAAACTCCACACAGACAGTTGCCAGAGGCTGGGATTGAACCCAGGTCCCTTGGACTGTGAGGCAGCAGTGCTAACCACTGAGTCAACATACCATATTGTGGGGATGAATGATATTACAGCGCTAAGGAGACAGCGAGCCTGTGGAGGAGTTAAACAGAAGGATGAGAATTTTGAAATCAAGGCCTTGCTGAAGTTGAAAGCAATGTCGGTCAGGAAACACAGGGAGGGTGCTGAACAGGACTTGGTGCGAGTTAGAGTACAAGCTTCAGAGTTTTGGATGAGTTGGTCAGGCAGGTTTGTTGCTTCCTCATAACCTCACAGAAATATTCCAACCAGCTTAACTGTAGCATCATAACTGAGTACTGCAACTTCTTACTCTCATCTTACTGAAAATCTGATTTACCTGGACAAGTGGATCCCTTTCAGGTCTGAACATAGAGTCTTTTTCCACCAAAATCAGGACAGAGTTAATGGCATTTGGAATGGCAACCTGTAAACAGTTAGAAATAAATTCAGCTGTACAGTTGAATGTGAATAATCATCTAAGTACAAGAGACAGTTGAATCACATTACTGAATTATCTAACCTAAACATCACAGATCTAATTGTCCTGATTGTTGTGCCTGGTGGTCAATACTGACATTTCAGTGGTTTTTAGCAGCAGTAAAAGGGAAAGGTGCCATATTCCGACTGAACAATAGAGCTGCTCTCTCATTAGAGAGAAGCGACTGTGATGGTTTCACCCAAGGGCCACCATGCTCGGGCAAGGGGTGGGGTTGAGATGGTAAATCTTCACAGCACCCCTGTCTGAGTCAAAATGTTGTGGGTTCAATTCCTATTCCAGGACATGAGCAGCAAAAACAAAATCGTGGCAGCATGGTAGTGCCGCACTCTCAGGTGAGATGGTGAACTGTGCCCCATCTGCCCTCTCCAGTGTATGTAAAAGAACACATAGAATCACAAGGAGCAGAAGTAGGCCACTCAGCCCACAAAATCTGCTCTGACATTCAATGAAATCATGGCTGATTTGATAATCCTCAACTCCACTTCCCTGCCTGCTATCCACAACCCTTCATTCTCTTACTGATTAAAAATCTGTCTCAGCCTCGAATATTCCTCATGATCAGTCCTCAACAGTTCCACAGATTCACTACCTTCTTTGAGAAGAAATTCGTCCTCATCTTAAATGGATGACCCCTTATTCAGAGATACTATTGTGAAGGAGGATTAATCTCCTGTGCTAGTCAAAACATCGCAATAACAGATTATCAAAATGCTGTTTGGCTGCAGCATTTTCTACATAACAACAACAACTAAAGTTCAAAACTATTTAATAGGTTTTAAAGTGTTTTGAAATATTCTTTGGTACTGTAAGGCACAATATCAATGCATGTCTATTTATTTCAATGTAATACTGAGGGAGTGTTGCACAATCACAGAGGTATTACCTCTTGAATGAATTGCTAAACGGAGTCCACACTTGCCCTCTCAAATCCGTGGAATAAAGAGGGACAGCACTCCTTTCTGGTGTTCAATTAAAACAGATAAACTGGTCATGGTCACATTGCTGTGGGTCTGTGGGAGATGCTAATCACAAATTTGCTGTGATGTTTTCAACATTATAACAGTAACAATATGAGACGTGAAAAAAAGTGCTTCATTAGTTTTAAGCTGCTTTTGGATGGCCTAAGGCTGTGGATGGTGTTATATAAATACAAGTTCATTCTTTTACAGAGCATGCTAAAATGGCAGCTGTTGGGAAGAGGGGAAATGGTGGAGGATTCCCATGACATGTTAAAATGATGGATAGTTAATGAAGGAATGGATGAATTATTTATTGTCATGTGTATTTTACACTGAGAAAAACAGTAAAATACAGTGGAAAGCTTTCATTTGTTGCCATAATCATTTTGCTAGTTTTCAGAGAAAATGAAAAGATACAGCTTAAAGAGAAGTCCATCTACATAGGAGTCTGAAGCTACTCAGAACCACCACCACCTCGCAAGACCCAACTAATGTCGAAGTGTCCAATCCTCAGGTGCCATCTTTCGCCATTGGGCTTACCTTATGACACTGCATCAGGGCTCACTCTCATCCATTCTGGGCAAGCTCTCTCCTCTGTAGATAGTTGTAGCAAGAAAAAGTGTTTGGCCTAACATAGTTCATTCACTAAAAGAATATGAAACGCGATACTGTGTCCTTATTTCTGAAGTGAACATTAATTATTCTTTCCAGGCCTCTTACAATATTCAGTGCAAATGGGGCTGTCAGTGAGATTGAGTGGGTATAAGAGGGAAGGCAAGAGTTCCCAGCCTTCTTGCCCTATATTAGTACCATAAGGACATTCCAAGAAGGTTGACAATGGGGGAGTGCACTAGAAGGCAGACAAGCAGGCCATCAGTTGGTCTCTCGTTTACACCAGTAAAAGGCCTGGCTGGGCCAGGTGTTCTCCAGGGAGAGAGCAACGGCAACTCGAGATGATGATCAGTGCCATTCACAATCACAGAGATACTGCCCTGATCTGAGGCGCAGGGGGGTGGAAACCAGCCCTCCCTGCACCCACGATTTCCCCAACAATTTACTTTTATCTTGATCCCTCTACCTCTAATCCAGCAATATCATGGAGCTCTTCCAATTATTTTCAAAGCCTTTTAAACGACTGATGTAGCATATTGGTGAAGCAAAACTTTTTGATCATATTGAACAAACCTGGGAATTGCGCAATTTATAAATATACTGCAATGTGGTTAAACAGCCTACTTTTTCAAGGAGGAAACTTTGATATATACATATTAATGTTGTAGCTTGAATAAAAAATTCCAGTAATTGGTCACCAAAAAAATAATCAGCTCACTAAAGAATACAGTAGAGAGCAGGTGTTCTGCTCTGATATGTAAACCTAGCTTTAAAACAAAAGCACATTGTATACTGGTGAGATCGTTTGGATTTTTCAGTGTGTGGTGAATCTACTGTCCTCAGAGAAAATTGTTCTCAAAGATCTTGTTGTCTGTGTGGCTTTGTTTCCTTCTTGGCCAATGATAACTTAAAGCTCATCTAAACGAATGGAATGTGACAATGCTGTCAGCAGGCAAATAATTATGCCAATCACTTTGATGTATTTCCACAGACAGCAAGCCAGGAAGTTAAAACCACTGATCGCCTTCATTCCCAATTAAAAATTCCAGATTAGAAAATAAATTACTATGTTTGGTTCAAACACCAGTTGAAATGAATTAAGAATATATGGATTTCTTCATCGTAGGGAAATCCACATCCCAAAAATACAAACATAGGTTTTTACTGCCAGGATGTGTGTTAAGCATTAATTTTGATATAAATGTTGTCTTCAAAACATGGGGTTGGATTTTACACAGCCCACTCTCCCTCTGTCATTGGTGTTGAACATGGCATGGCAGAGGTGAGGAGGGAATGTTTATCAAAATAAGCTTGTCACCTTCCAGCCACCTTCCCACCTGCTCACTCTAACCAAGCTATGGGGCTAGTAGAGGCTTGGGTTTATTATGGCCCTGGAGTTGCCAAACTAATGGCAGATTAATGACCTTACCCACAGCCTCACAAGGGGAGATCCATGCCAAGTGAGAAGCATCGTAGCTTTAACGGTGCAGGCTCGTATCACCAAGGGGTGGGGGAGACATCATTTTCAAATTCCCTGTACCCATTGGAGACATGCTTTGTAATGTGTCTCTGTATCCTTCCACACACCACCACCACGTCCACCCTCTCTCAAACTTGCTTCCACACACACATCTCTATTGGAGCCTGCCAGCCTGTCCCTGAGGGACAAAGACCCTTTCCCTAGGCAATTAACAGCCCCCACCCACAACTCTTCCTCCGATATATCGATGATATCATCGGTGCTGCTTCCCTCTCTCATCCGGAATTGGAAAAGTTCATCACTTTCGCCTCCAATTTCCACCCTGCCCTCACTTTCACCTGGTCTATCTCTTACTCCTCCTTTCCCTTCCTCAACATCTCTGTTTCCATTTCTGGGGATACACTGGCCTGCAAACCCAATGACACCCACAGCCACCTGGACTATATATCCTTAAACCCTGCTTCCTGTAAAGATTCCATTCCATTCTCTCAGTTCCTCCGTCTCCGTCACATATGTTCAGATGAGGCCAACTTCGACAAGGGAGCCTCAGAAATATCCACCTTCACCCTCAACCGAGGATTCCCCAGCTCCGTGGTCGGCAGGGCCCTCAAGCGGGTTCAACCCATCTCCCGCACTTCCGCCCTCACCCCTTCTCTTCCCTCCTGCAACAGCGATAGGGTTCCCCTTGTCCTTACCTACCATCCCACCAGCATCCACATCCAGAAGATCATCAGCTGCCATTTCCATCACCTCCAGCGATTTGCAACCACCTGACACATATTCCACTCCCCTCCCTTCTCTGCCTTCCGCAGGGACTGTTCCCTCTGAGACACCCTGGTCCACACTTCCTTCACCCCCAACACCCCCCCAACAGCCCCACTGCACCCTCCCCTGCAACCGGCCAAGATGCAACACCTGCTCATTTACCTCCTCCCTCCCCAGTATCCAAGGTCCCAAACATACCTTCCAGGTGAAGCAACACTTCACCTACACTTCCCAGAATCTAGTCTACTGCGTTCGCTACTCAAAATATGGTCTCCTCTATATTGGGGAAACAAAGCATAGACTGGGTGACCGCTTTGTAGACCATCTACGTTCTGCTCGCAAAAAAGACCCTGAATTTCCAGTTGTTTGCCGCTTTAACATATCACCCTGTTCCCTGGCCAACATCTCTGTCTCAGGCTTGCTGCAGTGTTCCAGCGAAGCCTGAAAGAACAGCACCTCACTTTCTGCTTGGGGACCCTGCAGCCCTCCAGACTCAATATCGAGTTCAATAATTTTAGGGCCTGAACTCTCCCATGTCCGAGCCCCCTACCCCACACACCAGGCCTTGTTATCACATAGTCTTCCATTACACACTAACTATTGTTAGTCACTAACAGTGCCCATCAACAGCTATTCACCTTCCCAGCCAGATCGTCATCCACTCCTTTGTCTGTCTAACTACCCTTCTCCCTCTTTGGGCTCTATCCCCACCTATCATTTACTCCTTACCCTCTCCCCCTTCCTATCTTCTGCATATAAACCAACATTTTCCTAGCTATCATCAGTTCTGAGGAAGGGTCACTGAAGCCGAAATGTTAATTCAGATTTTTCTTCACAGATGCTGCCAGACCTTTTCCAGTAACTTCTGTTCTTGTCTGCAATTAATGGCCAACTGGTGATCAAATGACATGGGAGAGCTGCTTGTCCCATGGTGGCCTCCTTATCAAATTTTTATCTCGGTGGGGGAGACCCGTCGGCTCCACAAAATCCAGCCTATAATTTCATCTCATTCAATGAGATGCAATCTTGTCTTTGCAAGTGCTTTATAGTAAGATTAGCAGTCTAGAGGTGGAAATTTTCTTCAAGTCATGATTCAACAGAGAAATTCG